TAGACAAGAAGCTAAATTAGTATCGTTTCCATAATAACATGTCTTTCCCTATACCCTACTGTAATATATTTTAATACAAATGCCGTTATTGTGCTTAAATTAATGCTCAAAACAAATGATTGTTTCCCTTTTCCTTGTCTTTGTTGTGTTCATCACTTTATGTTTTACTGTATTATAAAGTCTTTGTTTTTGTCGTTTAAATCTAAAATTATGGCAATTGTTTTGATGAGTTGCTCCGCTTCGCGGTGATTTTTATCCTCAAGTACAGTACTTATGTTTTCAAAATTTGTTGATAACGAAAGATAAACATAAGAAGCGAGATTTTGACTGAAAACATAACTTTCTCACGAAGTTTAAGAACGCCTTTCTGTAGATGAGAGAGAAGAGAGAAATCGATTTTTGAACAAAAATATAATAATATGTGTTTCCCCTAAACAGCCATCGATGCCATTGTTCTCTCCCCTCAATACATACAATCTTTATCTCGCATTGCCTTCCATTGCCTTTCCATCCAAACTCTGTCTGTATTTCTCCTTAACTTTATCTCCACTTTCATTGCGTCAAGAATTGTGTGGCGAATGACTTAGAGTTACGACGAAATGACTCTATTTCTCTCAATATTTCAAAACTTAATTTCTCAATCCATTCAATACATTAGCCGTACATTCATGAAATACTAAGTCACTGTATTCTAGTCTTTACTCTTCCTTCTGTTCCTGTATTGCAATTAATATCAAAAAAATCTTTTGCCTTAATCTCAAGCAATTGAATTCAATTAAGAAAACTAAAAAATAAAATTAAAAATATAGTTCACTTAAATGTTATTGATTTTACAGTTTATACTTTTGCAGCTTTTAAATTGAGTTACACTTTGATTATAAATAGTTAAGATACTCTGTTATTTAGTATTTCATATTACTGTATATTGACATTTATTTTCTGCATTTTTAATTCCGGCAATCAATTTATTGTGTAAACCTTTTCTTGTTAATAATAATTTATAAGAATAGCATAATTACTATAATATTTATTATATTTATTACAAATTCAAATACATTTCGTTAACAAATGGTTTTTAAAATAAATGTGCAGTCAATTGCAAAAGTAATTTTTTCATGTTATGACACTGTACAAAGTATATTTAATTAGTATACTTAAAGTATTGGTTTTTTATTAATTTTCACACAAATTATCTTTAAAGCAGAGTAACAGAGTAATGAACCAAATCTGTAATGATGATTTTTTAAATTTGAAGTTTCTTAAGTCATAAAAATCAGGAATTCTATAAATGCTAGTAAAGGAATTTGAGATAATTTGGTTTTCACTTCCGAACTATATTAAAATTGGTAAAGAGTTTTGAAAAGTTTAGAAATTTTACGTGTTTTATAAATTTAATGAAATTTACTGTATTCCTAAACTACCCGAGACTTCACTCTCTGTCAGTGTGCAAAAACTTAAATTCTAAAATAAAATAGTCATTCAAAAAGTTAATTTGTGACCTTGACGGGTTTTGATAAAAAATATTTTGACGAATCATTTTTAGAAATATAAATCTAAATCATTTCTTAACTTTAATCTATGGATTTGAAGAGTTTAAATAACACAAGAATATATTTAAAATTTAAAATTACCATTTATTGATTATAGAAATATTAGTAGTAATATTTAATTAATTTGAATTTAATGGGGTTTGAATAAATTAAAATAATGTTAAATTATCAAATATGATATAAAAATCAGAAAAATTAAGAATTTGTTAAGAATAGAGTCATTGATTAGTTGTTCAAAAAGGTTGTCTTGACTTTTGTCACAAACATTATTAAGTTTATGTGATTGTAATTAAAGTAAATTTTGCTTTGTATAGCATCTCTTGATTAATTGGTTGTGTACTCTTGTAATTGACGGATATATTCCTTATGATTGGATAAAATAGTGTCAACTCTAAAGGAAAGTCAGCGGTTTGTCATAGTTTTGTATAAAGAGTTGTGTAACAATTGTGAAAACATGTTTTTTAACAAAACGTTTGTTTAGGTCAATAAATAACATAAATTGACAACAAATGAGTGATATAATAACTTAAACAATGTTTTTATTTAATAATGTATTTTCAATCCCTATTCTAACAATTCAGTTTACTTTATTTATCATTGATATAGACTTACAAATAACAATAGATAGTGATGGCAAACTCAATTTTTAATGATTAACAAGCTTACTTTTGTATTGTTAAACATTTTTATTATTTCTAAATATTTGGTTATATTACTCATACCCCTAACAGAATCTGTCATTAAATGTGAATTCATAGCATTTCTCAAATCTGTGTTCATACAAGTTGATCATAAATTATACTATTTTTATTCATCAATAATTGGCGATAAACTGATGATAAGTTTACTATTAGGTAAACATTTCATATATGAATGTAAAGGAAAATAAATAGTATTTATTTTTAGGCAAATTTATCATAACTATCGTCTCACGAATCTGTTATATGGATAAGAATGGGCACCGGTATAGCTAAATGTCCATTAGATAGGTCGACAAAACAAGTGCAACACAAATCCGTTAGTATCAGTACCGTAGCCATCGATAAATTACCATTATTTCAGCCATCACTACCTACCAGTGCCTCATTATATTGTGTGCAGATCTCACAAACACATACTTAAGTCACGAGCGCTTAAAATAAATGTTTGACTCAAATATTTCTCCCTCTCTTTGCCATCATTTTGCCTCTATTTTCATAGTTTTATCTAAACTTTTAAAATAATAAATAGATTTGAATAAATTTCTTAACGGTTCTCAAATGCTGTGATTTTTTCCCAAAATAAAATACAATACAATCAAACTTTAGGCAAATGTCAGCAAATATTTGCTTTCTATTGAGAATCCGAAGCGAGTTTTTAGGAAAAATAGATGTTATTTGTCTTTTTGATCATATGATAGAAATAACTAATAAAATGAAAGTCAATTGTTTAGTATATATCAGTCTAAAGAAGTTCTTTTCCCAACGCTTATCAATATTCTAAGGGCTGACACATACTATCTGTTAATATAGTTTATATCCATATCTTGTGATGTGTTGCACACCATTTGAATTAGAGATCACATCCCAATTGACTCAAAAAGAGAGTCATTTCAATTATTTGATTCAATTTATTACATTTTTTCATATTATTCTTAAAAACTTTTTTATGTATCATTTTAGAAACTAATACCATCTCAGAATTGAATTGATTGGAGTCGAGCCGTGACTTTTGCTTTCAAATACAGTATACAACTACAGTATGTTTGAAGAAAATGTGTTGAGAATACAGTAATATATTTTATTGGATGCGTTTTGACACTCTATTCATACAATTATTACAAAAAGTCGATAAAAGTCTAGAACTCATTGAATACAAATGCGGTGCATATTTGCGAGCATTGCTTTCAAATTGTGTTCAAATCATATCTTTCAAGACAATTATTACATGAATTTCCGGTAATATATCATTCATTTCATAAAATCAATTTTGAAATAATATTCATTAAAATGATAAATAAGTGCAATCAAATGAGAGTTTTATAACACAACCTAACATAGAGTTTTGGATTCATCTTTATTACAGAGAATGCAAAGCAATATATTGTTGACTCAATTCTCAATAAAATTTTCATTCAATTTTTGTAGTGAATGTCTTGAAAATTCTTTGCTCTTTGTATTTATTATTTATGTGTTATTTGGCTGACAATTGTAAGGCAAACCTGATGACTGCCCAGCCTCTGCAGTGGTCAGTCACAGAGGTTATAAAAAAGCAAATAATCTTATCTTATCATGTCATAACACGTCATGAACTGAATGTTTGTCGGTAAGGTAGTGGTACTAGTTATTATAGGGTTTTGCTTACTGTACGAACGTTTTATAAAATAATTTAGTTTAATTAATATATATTATATAACATGTAAATTGAACTATACTAAGTTATAGCATTTATTCACAGATTAACAAATAAACACAATTTTAAAGTTTTTTTAATAAAATACATTTTTTTATGATCAACTATTTGATTCTATTGAATATTTCTACCAAATTATATAAGACTAATACAAATTTAATTTAAATCAATAATTTGTAACTATAATTAACAAGAATTACTAAATTTATAATAGTGAGTGAGTGTGTGTGTGTGTGTGTGTGTGTGAGAGAGAGAGAGAGAGAGAGATTTGAATTAATTTAAGTGGTGGCATTAATTTTGTTTAACACTCAATTTTCTTAAATGTATACATAGTGTATTCTATAATAAATTATTGAGAAGTCTATATTATAGACTCTATAAGATACTGTATATCCCACACCTATCTGTAAACTCATGAGTGCCATCCCTACCCCTGATTCGGGTTCAACCTTCTCCTCAACTCAATTGAAAACCTGTTTACTCTCAATGAGGTTCTCATCTGTCTTAATACACACATTTCTCTACCCCTCCCTACCATTCCCTCTACCATTATAATAACTTTATTATGTTTTCAAGTTTCTTGAATACTGTACAGTATTACAGATATTAATTTAGAAAACAAATCAGTTTCCAGAGACTGAAAAATTGGGAAAATATTGAAAAAATAATTTATTCGGCAATTGATTGAAAACAATTTTTTACAAACAAACAGTCAGTCATTGATTTGATTTGAAGAAAATGGAAATAATTATTTGTCTCCATTTATTCGTATAAATTAAGTTATTTGCAAACATTTAAAATGAATTAATGAAATGAAACACCAGTACAATAGCAATTCGCTTCAAAATGATTTAAATCAAAATAAACTTATGATAACATAAATTAAACATTTATAGCATGTTTATTGCCGGTATATACAAGTAAAAAGACGATTCAAACCAAAAGTCAAAATAATAGTAAATTTAATTATATTTCAAATCGCTATAAAGGTAGTCTTCACCAAGCCGGGTGCTTAAGATTGGCGAAAAACAACAACAGAAGTAAGTCAAATAACCAGGTTTACATTAGCAATGACTGCGAAGCCGTCGATAGACTCTTGTTTGACGACTCGACTCCATTGGCCTTAAACTTCTTGAGCGGCGCTTCCATTACTTTGGAACTGTTTTGAGTGTCATTCATGGGTATGATGTCATGTCTGCCCCAGTCGTAGCTCTCCTTCCAGGCCCACTCGCTTTCGTTAGGTTTGGTGCCATTTGATTGAGTTTTGGTCGACTCGTCGGTGGCGTCGGCTGTAGTCGTGCGCACAGAAGGGGTGGTCGACGACGAGTGAGGGTCTGGTTTGGATCGACACTCCAGAAGACATGTCAGAATAGACTGGTGTTCAGGAGTGACACAATACGAGCGCACGAAGTACTCCATCTCATTCCATACCATTCGGTATAACTCTTCCCGTTTGGGTCCCTTTCCTTTGATGCCAATGGTAGGCACCGGTAGATTCGTGCCTTTGCTCTCCATTCCCACCAAATGGTAGATTGATTTCTTGCATTCGAGTACTTCCTCTTCGGTTAAGTACTCTTTGGGCACTAAATGCAAGAAGTTTTGGATTTGGATTTGAATGTTATATAGGATTGTATTCCCGATGACGAGCGGCCAGTAAATGGTTTGCTTTCCCAACGATTGCTTCGACTTCTCGATGGGGAACAACACCTCTTTGTTAGCGCTCTGGTGGTGACGACAGGCCACCAAACGATTCCTTTTCATCATTTCTCCGAAGTCGTTGATCCGGTAGTCCGTCACTCGGCCACCACTTCCCTCGCTTATAGAGGGCGGGTCTTCCAGCGTTGATCTCCCGGTGCCTAACGTATGGATATATAGTTCTCCGCAATGACTGGACAGCATATGAGACATGATTTTTGTGCCCTTCAGGCGCGGCATTTCCAACATAACAGTCCTCCCACTCAATAGGAAGTTCGTGAGACAACTGGCCGGTCGACTGTTTACATCGACTGAAGTGATCCGATGGGCAGTCGTGCAGTAATGGAGTTCCACTGCATTAGTTCTCGGGGTACACCACTTGAGTGTAATGGTGTCGTAGGAGAAGCCCTCGCGGAAGGTCTTCACACACACGCCTTCAGTGCTGATGAGTCCAGTCTTGAAGGAGTCGGTGTGCGCTTCGGACGAGTGGACGATCTCCACGTCATAGTTGGCCGAAGAGCTGGCGTTTTGCTCCTCTTTCATAGGAATACCGGTGACTGTCGTCGACGCCAACGAGTAGTGACTTAACACCAGATACGAGAGCTTTGCGGCCAAAAAGCGGCCCGATTTCACCGAATGAACCTCCGATGACACCAATCCATTCAATTCATGTCGAGGTATTTCCATTATCTTCGATGTCATCGACTGGTCTTCGATGGGAAACGTATTAATGAAAACCAATTCACAGAAACTGATTGTCAGTAAACGACAACTTGTGTCCACTTTTCTCTGTTTGACAATCAATTCATTCCTCTCTGTTATCAACTCTTTCACCGAATCCTCAATCGATTTGATGTGAGAGTCGTTACGAAACGCCGAAATACAGACAATTCGTCCGCCGTTCAGATCCATCGCCGGCTCTTTGGAGGCCTTGTGTTGGTGGCAGTCCTGAAGATGTGTGGGAACTGCTAGCGATTCAATCGCTTTGTGAAAGCCATTCAATATTTCACTCCTTTCTGACGGCTTATACTGTTTGGCCTTCAAGTGGGCGGTGGACCCGTTGGTGGCCAACCACTCCATGCACTTCTGGAGGGTCTGGTCCTCGCGGTTCCAATCGTTGCAATTGTTGGCCGAATCGGTTCCGCAGACCACGAACTGAATGAGTC